GGACATGCTGGTCGCCTGGAGGAAACACCTTACTGCCTTCACACTCCTGTCGCAGAGGACAGTACGACTTTACCCCCAGACCGCCCCGTGCCACGATTGCTCGTAGTGCGGAGTCTCGCTGCTCCCCTTTGGCCTTCCTGGCATGGTTATACCTTGTGGAACGAAGTTCCAGCCAGTGTAGCCCGCGGGATCATTGCAGCACGCAAGCCCGACCACCACGTCAAGGTGGCAGCTTTAGGTCGAAGACGACTACTCACAGCAAGTTTCGATGCCAAGAGCAGGGGATAAGTGGGTAAGTTTAATTCCCACCCACCCAACGATGGGACTGGTAGTGGTCTGCCCTTTCCGCACCACTTATAGAGGAATACATTTTTAGATTTGTTGCAAAGTACTACGTGGAACCGAATCTCAAGATTACTTGATGTCAAAAACAAGCGTCTTTCATAGGACACTGTTTAGAGTTCGCCTTTTTTCATTGTCGCCGTTCCACTTGATCTCTGAAAATACGTACTTAGTTACGATGAGTACCTGTAAGTAAAACGTCGAAGGTTGTCGCTATTTAGCCTTAATGTGGTGTCATTTGGGTCGTCTGTCGAACGATTAACTGGGAATTCAGTTTTAACGTGAACTGAATGCTACCACAATACTACCAAAGCGTTATCCATGTTTTACAGATTCTGAATGACATCCTTGGATGGACCGTCGAAGTCCTCATCAAAGAATTAAACAGCGCGTCAGAAAGTGGGTGGAATGGACTAGTCTGTCCAGAACTTACTTCAGGGCAGTCGCAGGGTTTGTGGGAGAAAATCTCACACAGACCACCAACTTAGGGAACTCGTTGGGGGAGCATGAACCAAAAAACAGTTGTCCCCCTTACTTATAACCTCTTCAAAGCTAACTTTTGCGATAATCTTGTTCTACGCCAATCCAACAATAACTTCGAAAGAGTCGATTGACCGGTAGCACTGGAATACAAACAAGTCTCTTCATTCAATGGAGAGACAGAATTAAGCAAAACTGCAAATTACACAAATGGCCAGGCATGAATTGTGAACAGATTCGAACCGCGGATACCAGAAAATTTAAACATTCCCCAGCCCATCAAACGCAAATTTGGCTTGCCCCCCCCCGCCATGGGAGATGGCGTGCAGCAACTGAGTGGGGTAGGGAGTTGGTTGGGGTTCGAGAACTTATGGCAGACAATTGTGATTCACAGACGCTGTCGGATGATCAACAAAGTCAGGAAAGATAATCACTGTTGCCTGTAGAAAGAAAATCTGCGCAGTAGAGGGACCCACCACATTTGGCTGGCTGACCCATTCGGCTTTAATAGCATGGGCGAATCCAGGCTAGTTTAGCCAGCGGGATCATGGGAATTCCAACCATCACATCTTGGTAAGAGATCTGAGGCTGGTTTGGAGGCGGATGTAACAGGGGAATGGAAGGGCGTCAATTAAACGGTCTTCCAAACACTGGCTAAGATGACAGTGAATAACATGGGTTCTAAGGAGAAATCATCCGAATGCATCCCGGAAAGACCTCTGGGGAGTTCTCATAACTTCGTCGCGTCCGTTTTATCCTCTCTTTCTTTCCTTACGCCCCCAGGTTCAGCCTTTTACTAATCATCATCATCATCCCATTCATCAACAGTGCGGTTACTGTATTAGTGTGGGCGACTTCATAATCTTGTCGGGGTGTGTTCAGAAGCATCCCAGTGTTGCCTAACTGCAACCAAACGCAAACAAGTAAAAAAACTGCTATAGCAATGTAAAAGTAAGATATCCGTGATCAAATCGAAAGGTCCCCGCGCGAAGGAAAACATGAATCAAAATGCTACCACCGTCTGTAACTTACTTAAAGCAAGTAGGCGCTGTCGGTCGGCGTTTCGTGAGTCCCAGCAACAAAGACTTTTCGTAGCTTCATCCGGAAACAGAACTACAGTATGTGAGTGAGATATACGAAAAAGATCTAAATAAGTCTCCATAAAAGTCTAATGGATGTTGGTAGGCAGTAAAAATAATTTACTCCTCAAACTGGAAGCAAGAAGCTTTGTGTCAGTTCTTGCAGACAGTATGCACAAAACCAAAATTATCATTCCAAGCAGTGATAGACCACCGCAATTGCTCATGGCACCTTCTTGATAGATATTCCTGTTCGTTCTTGTTTCTTTGTATGCGCCCCTTATTTCCTCACCTTGAAGACACATGAGTTTACTCAGCCTCAATTTAATCTAAGTGTAAACCTTTCAGTGTTTGGCTGCCGCAAAAGCTGTTGTGCTCACGATGGTCAAATTGGAAACATTGCTGCAAACGTTTCATAATCGAGATGATTTGTGAAACTGCGATGCGTCATGGTTAAGCACCACGTCAGAGTCCGACGAGAGGTTTGCGACAAAAATGAACAAACTCGGAAAGTAGGTTGGCAAGTAGTGCTGGGCATGAGTTAACGTTGAAAGATTTTCAAAGGACTATTACTGAAGCCCAGGAAAGCGCAGGGGTCGAGAAAACACCCGCGCCTTAGAACCTGTCAGCGGTTTCCTTCTTACGTTTCAGAAGCTTTATGCAATTACCTTTCACGATTCCTACGCTGACAGTCCACAACTAAGATGCCTCGTTGTCTCTAATTGTCTATCCAATGTAGTGGAAAGGCGCGGAAAGTGAGTTACTTTATAGCTAGGACTTCCAGTCGCTAGTCAGTCGTTCAACTGGCATAACTGCAGACCAGGTGAGAAGGCATGACAAGCTGCAAAAGCGATCAGTAAATAGGTGACTATCTGGTTGAAAGCAACAGATAACATTCAGCTTACCGTAATCCTCTGTGTGATTGAACACTGCCATGGATCGATGCGTCTGGTGCCCAGTAGTCCCGGCACCGGTGTATGTGATGAGACACCGACCTGTAGCTATTTCCCAGAGCTTCACAGCACTGTCTTTGCCCGAACTGAGTATATACTGCATAGTAGGAGGACAGAAAATGACATACAAAGCGGTACACCACGAATTAGTCTCCTGTACCGAGTCTTCACTCTAAAAAAAGCCGAACACTGACGAAACGCATAAACGAGTGATACAACTGACGTGCTCTGGCTGAGAGGTTTCATGATGGATGAAACAGTCCGAGCACCAAACACTATGTCTGCAAGGATGAAAATCAGTCAGAAGATTGCTCAAATCACATTTGAGTTCCACATCAAAAAGCTATCCAATCTCCATAAAGTGCGACTGGAAAAATACAGTGAGTTTTTTCGACTTACGTTACTGGTGTGAAACTTCCTTATCTGAAGTAGGACATGCCCTGCAATGAGTCTCCAAGCTCAAAGTGAGCAACTGCCGCTTGACGGCTACGCGTCAGAACAGATGTACACTGTTCAATCATACTTCTGGCTCGTCACCCTGTTGTTTGATCTACTGAAAGTCAAGGGATACATCCAGTCGTTCTACAACTGGTATGGAAGAACTAGTAGTTAGACGGAATTATATTGGTTCCAGAGTAAAACTAGACGAAATAATGGAATGCCAGGAGCATTTCCAAGGTGACAGAAGAGATAAAGGTGTGCTAACTTCTCATTCACTTGCCGCTCGGATTCGGTAGACCGGTGGGCCTAGTGTTTTACTAATGTAGTGTGCGGAACTGTGTGGATGTATAGTACCGATAAAGTTTGCACATGTTTCTTTTAAAGAAGCATTGCAGGTTTGAACAATCGCACGCCTCTGGTTTCGTCCATCTTGGATTCGTTTCGATAGCTGTGATGGCGTTCGACCGACCCACAGGAGGAGGAATAAAATGCCAATGAGTCAGTCAGCACAGGAAGCTTGTCTTTTAGCCATCGAACATGAACGCCTCAGTTAGAAAATATTACTCCATTATTACATTGCGTCACTAGGCGGGTCAGTATCCGTCAATTGATCGACGGCTTACGTTGACGTTCCACACTTTAGTTTGCAACCAGTCTTCATCGTTGCTGACTTGGAACCCGTCAAGTTTTCTTCAAACATTTATTGAGAAGAGACATCTGTCATTCGTTGCCGAACCTACGTACTAAGCTAATTTTTACGCCAATAAACATAAAACTATCGAAATTAGTATACTGTCCAGCACAGGTTGCTTTGTGGGACTATCCGGTTGTCATTTGAGCATTGGGGGCGAGATGGCTTAAGTGGCTAGAGCGCAAATTTACTGACCAGAGGGTCCGTGGTTCGAACCCGATCTCTACCTCTCGACTGTCTAGGCTTGGGCAACCTGGCAGCATCCCAGCCCTCGTGCTTCCTTCGGGTGGTATGGCAGCTAGTCACCGGAAGGGTGCTACAGCGGAACGACTTATTTTTTATTATTTACATACATGAAAAGCAAGCTACCCCGTTTTTTTCTGCCACCACTGTATGAACAACAAATAACGTACCCAGTGTTAGCTTTTACTTAACAATGGCAAGGACGTCAACAACCCAAACTTATCAATAGTTCATCATAATCAGTCACCCCTAAACCAGTTCGACTGGGTAGCGAAGAATGGTCCTAAGAGAGATCTGACAGCCACTTCATCTTGCTGTCCACAATGCTGGTACTCATTCCGTATGTTGAACGTGCAACGCAGTAATGGCCCGACTAGACTATCATGAATATCAATGTTCGATCTGATTAGTTGATCCAGTAATGTTACGTTAGGGAATAGTGACGTTACCTCCAGAAAGATCTTTATTGAACCTGTACTCTTTGATTTCGTCCACCAAATGAGAAGTATTCTTCAGACTTAACTCAGCTACAAAACTCGTGTGCACAAACTCCAATTTCGTGCTAACCAATTTAGTAGGCACTGGTCATCAAGCAGACCCAAAAACGACTTCAAATTCATGTATTGAGCACCACCCCGAGGACCAAAGGGTACAGACACCATGCCTGGAACAGAGGCACATGATTGTTCAAACGCGCAATGCGTATTCAGAGCAAAAAAAGGTGCAAGTTTCGTGATTACCATGACCCCGAATAGCTCCCACAGTGAGGACAGAACAGGTGCAAGGCACACTAAATCCAAGAAATATGATGGTGACAAGCCAGCGAAACCCCCTTTTATGCCATCTAGTCAGGGGGGCATGTATTCCATCATTTTGCTTGATTTTGTCGTGGAGCCTTTAATAGTTGCGTTCAACTGCCCGCTTCGCGCCTGTAACAGTAATCTGAGGAACCAGTCGAAGGCGATACAATTATTCAGTATGCGTTCTACAATTGATCAGGTTATTTAATGGATTTAATAGGTTTTCACGACTAAAATTACGCTCCTTGGTGTATCGCCGTTTGCGGAGTGAAAGGAGACTCAAAGGTAGACATCAAGCGCAGCAAGGGATGGTAATACATTTAAAAAAAGCGCCCGATTATTCAGCTGCAGGTGAAAAACTGGCCATAAACGAGGCTGATAAACAGCATACCTATTCTCAACTTTTCCATACGGATAGTAACGAAGTTGAACTACTCAGTTAGATGGAAACGTGCCTGTTATATAAAGAACGAGAGCTTCCGTACGGGCTTTGATACTATAAACGAAAGTGTCTGGCGTATGCTAGTTGTGGGTCATTTGCAGAGATTGTATGTTTTAATTCAAGCGCGGCGCCTTGATAGAAGTGTTTTCCGTCAATCGCTCAATCCACTGAATCAGATTGAGGTTAGGAAGATTTCAGTGCGATTGCACAAAATCGCGTTTCTGCCTCGTTTGTCCAAACACAACGTTATGTTCTAAGTTCTAATAACCACCCAGAATATAGGACAACAGCCAACGGGATTCGAACACGAGGGTAATGGCAGCATAACAAACATCTGCCCAAAACGGAAGAACCTGCTGACCAACCTTTCCGTTGCGAGAGAACATTGCAGAGCATACAGGCGCACCGTCGTGTGCAGCCTCGAAAGTGTTCACGCATCGACAAGAGACTCCGTCCCAAATCTTAAAGTTCCCATCCATTCCCGCAGTAACAAACGCGTTCCCATTGGGTGACCACCGAACCATGTTGACAGAGCTTTGGTGTTGATCTTCTGGGACAGCAGACACATAGCAGCGACAGGTTTGGACATCATACAACCGTACTGGGATGGGGTGAAACAGATCCAAGGACAAAAGTGATTGAAGTCGAAAACTAGTAGTTTTTTTACAACGTGTAAGGAACTCTTGTTGATACAATTGATTAGTGTGAAATCTAACCGTGAACACAAGCAGTATTATAGAAAGCTATTTAATTGAATTCGACGTCAGTTGGGGTGGATCCTTTGCAAGCAAAGAAAATAATATATTTTCGTACAGTTACATTAAACAGTGTGAAAAAAATTCCAGACACTGATGGACGGGTTAGATACGGACAACGGCAACTAGAAGCAGTAAAACCTAAACTGAAATAACTCCGTTAATGATGCATGGAGGGTTAGTGGAGTTCAAAATGAACATGTCACATGTGTTTGAACACTCTACAGTGTCTAATCAAGCAAGCACAGGCATCCAACAGTCTTCATCGATCTCCACAGTCAAATAGAAGCGTGCATCGCGTATATCATGTTTTCTTATTCGTAAACCTTGCTGCTTTCCACCGAAAGTTCTACCCGAGTTTATAGCTGACGGTAGTACACGATAGCCATTCACAACAGCTTGATATAAACATATCGTTGGAGCTTTGTGTAATCACTAGGATAGATAAGCCCACAAATGGATCATCACAAACGGTACAAGCTTGGTTGTGCTGTTTACATTCATATGAGATTTACGTGTGGATGAGGACGAGTTCTTTTAGGTAAAAATATATACGTTTTAGATGGTGGGACACGCCCAAGGAAAAGTACAGTGTGAAAATGATGCCGAAAGCCAAAGGGATAGATTACTAAATCCAGTCCTGTGGCGTACGACAATCCAGCGGAATTGGAAAAGACAAGCTGGAGAACCAGAGTAACTCAGTATAAGAAAGATGGCCGGTCCCACAAACTTACGGGTTTTGTGCTGAGTACCCACCAGCAAAAAGTTGCCCGATGGATGGAAATGAAGAGTCCGAATCGGTGAGGCTTCCTGTAGAGGAGAAATGAAAGAATTCAGAAACAAAGAGGAAGAAATTGAAAAAAATTAGGGTAGGTAGAAAGACTCGCAGTTGAACTACGATAAGTGTCCCGACTAAGATGGTGCTAGCAATAATATATGAGGCGTTGCCAGTTGGTAAGCGATACCACAAAATGTGTAGGCCGCAAAAATACCTAAGTTAGTCACAGTATCAATCGGCACAACTCAACAACTATGGATAATACTACCTGCGAGTGTGGTGTTTGGAAATGAGCGCATCTAAGCTAGTATGACGTACATAACTAGTGGCACAGTCAACGATAAAATCTCATGATGGGTGGACACATGGCTGACATTTGTAAAGCAGCAACAACCGGGTTACGTAATCAGTGTTGTTTAGCAGGTAGGAAAACAAAATGTGGTTGATGAGAATCATACAATCTCTGATTACGACGCCTTATACCAAATGTGTCTTGGAAACACGGAACTAAACCTGGTCCTCACACTGGGTACCATCCTTTGAGGGAGAGATGAAAATTTGAAAATTACACACCACATATAGGAGCAGCGTTTGGCGTTAAAGTCTCATGGATACTGAGGCAGGATGGAAGTAAGGTTGATGTGCACATGAGGAGTACGCTCCAGGAAGGGCGAAACAAGTCGTCAACTATCGAATAGTTCTCATAAGTAGTGTACACCAAGATTATTGTGTACCATCATTCTGTCAAAGAGTGATCTTAGGAACCCTAAGTTTAAAGGTCCAGGTATAGATAACGGGGTTCTAATCGTATTACCGACAGCCACAGTTGGATATTCTGTGAAAAATCGCTCTCCTTTCAAGTGCAGTAGGTTGAGTTTTTGTTTACAAGCCCTTTTTGAACAGTGAAAAAACAGTACTGTTGACACAGGAAACATCCTGGCTTAGGTTTGCTTCCCAAAACTCAAAAGACGACCGAAGTGACTTGATACTTCAGAGAAAACAATATCAAGGATCCGCCTAAAATGTATCAGTTTACGGGTTACATACAGCTTCAAGTGTTAAGAGACGTGTTGATTAAACGATCGAGATTAACTACACAAATAATTCAACCGTCTATGCAAGTAATCTTCGGTGTGCGGTGAAAAATGCTGATCGACCAGTTACGGTCAACCATCCAGTCCAAGGAACTCAAGTTTTCTTTAACACACTCAACTATTCCATGGCTTAAACTTGTAATTGGCAGAAATAGCACAGAGGGCACATGTAACGGAAGCCGTCAACACGAAGCTGTGGCTTCTATGCAGTACCAAACCAAACAACTCAATCTGAATACCAACCTAATTAAAATACCGTGATGTCATTGCGGGACAGATGAAAGTTGTTGGCCATTGGCTCCACACTGGCCATTAGGGAAAGCCAGTCACAAAGCAAACGCTGCAGAATAATGAACCACAAGGTAGGAACGAAACGCGTGACAAAGATTCCTCAACTTTCAGTCCTTTTAGGTACCACAATTGGAGTTTCATATCTCTCATCATGCCATCAGTTATCCCGAGGACTAAACAATCTCTGCTGTGAAGTTGTTTCCAAACAGTGCAGGAAAGGAAGAAAAATAGGTCGAGTCTATTACAAATTCGCACAAACTACAAAAATATTGAATGAAACTGATTCGTTAACTGAGGAACAAGCTAGTCGTGGTCAGACCACAAAATGTTGGCTTTTATTACTCTTATGCAATCACGTGACCTCTCCCTTCAGTAAAACAGCTTGTTAATTTCAGAACTGTAGACGACTCGGTTGGATTGGAGAAAATCAAGTGCCGTGTTACGGTTCTGTCAATGAGGGGTTGAAGAGCATAAGAAATACGTGGTTTTATCGGAAAGCGACAACTGATCTCACAAGCGTCGGCACTCCTATCCAGATAACTCAATTTACTCCTGTTTCATCATTACGACATAGAGATACTCCGAAAAATCCCATATTATTAGCTGCTAGACTACGCAGTTCTTCACAAACCTCCTCCTGCGCAGGAAGATATGAAGAGATGAACTAGAAATATGCTTTAAGCATAAAGTAAATTTCAACTAATTCTAAAAAGCAATCCAAACTGAGAGTGAGAAAGTTCTATCCAGGGGGGAATGGTGCTGAAAACTATACGCTACAGTAGCATTCGGCCGAGGATCGATTCGTTGACCCCGGTTTTCCATCAATAGCAAGGAAAGGCTAGAAAAGCTCCTGAGGGTTGCTATAAGCGGTGGTTCCATCATTGATCACGATCCGTTCGTAAAATGACACTAAAGTAGTACTTGAAACAGGGTTGTCGCCATATAGTTGAACTAGGTTACGTATACCTAAGGGTTGCAGGGAGTGTCCAAAAACCTAGTTAAGATTGTACCGTTCAGCTGGATCGCAGTTTTGCGGAGCTATTTAATGCATGTGCGTCCAGTATTCTCTTGAGTGGCCACGAATAACAGCTAACTTTATTCCCAGCTTGCTTTTGTAGTTGCTTAGAAAGGAGGATCCGGGAAAGGTGATTACACCTATGGGTTGTAGGTGTTCCTCGATTGGAGCCACCAATCGCAGAGAGACCAATGCACACGCTAACGAGTGGTCAGAATCGACATGGGTAGACCAATATGGACGGCAGTCTCGCAGGCTGCCCCGCGAACTACAACAAATCCTAGCGTGGTGAAGTTGTGTCCACCATTGCGCAACTGAAGGAGGATGCCAAAATGTACAGCGACATTTGTGATGTCAACAGCCTATGTGTATGAGGAAGAGAACGTCATCTGAAATCAAACTCGACATGGATTAGCTCGTAAGCTTGACTAGTAACCCTAGTTCAGCACGTCACTTTACTTATCATCGTGATGTTTAACATTATTATCCCCCATTAAACTTGGACATTTCAGTAATTTAACGAATTCCCATCAAATGTGGCCGCATAACCGTGAATTGCACTAGCAAAAGACGCGTCATCCCACCATTCTGTAAATAAACCCCTTCGAACCACAATCACCCTTCGTGGATTCAGGATGGATTCCTATCACCTCACAGGTATCAGGCCTAACACTAAAACACTGGCAACAAAGAGAACAAAACGGCCAGTCCAAAAACAAACAAGTCGCAAAAAATTGCAAAGAATGAAACGCTACGCCTAACATGGACTGGGAGTTTCCTACATAGGTTAGAGCACACACTAGAAAATCTGACTGTGGGCAACTGTAAGTCATGAATAGCAACAGTGTGCAACAAGCGAAACGGAATTACATTCTGGTCACCAGGTACAGTCACGTGCTCAACACAACTGGCAACCATTCGAAGCAGTGTATGAAATGGGAGGTAAGGAGGGCAGAGTTATCGATTAAAGACATTTGTCCAAGTGAACCAGAATCATAAAATTGTTGCAGAAGTCACGTGGTTTTACAAAAGGGGTCTTCAAGTAGCTTGCAATAATGGACTAGATATGAGATGTGACAGGCCAGAGAAAGCCAGTCAACCACAAAAAATGATGAAGAAACGGGTTGGCTGTCACAAAACGGAATGCACATAAGTACATGATGAAAATTCGGCCATAATGAGTTACACATAAGTGAAGGCGATTCTGCGATTAACCCATTCTTGGTTTCTGTCCATTATTGCCGATCAACGAGTACAAAAGCCTTCATTGACATCGTGAAACGATATGTGGACTCATCCGGTGGAAAGACTATCCTCGAAAGAGAGCATCGTTTAGAAGAAACACTGTCGGTTGGTCCCCTGAAGTTTCTTCTGTGATTTATGGTCTGCCTAGAGGACTGTTCCAAGCAGATGCTCTCCAGAGAGGCAGCATCGACAGGACAAATAAGCACAAGCTGTCGATCAACCACCCACAAATGAATGGCAAGAAATGTCAACTATTATCCGGAAGATCGGGGATTCTGGTCTCCAATGTTATTCCAGAGCAGCACAGTGCTGATGGCGCCAAGTACCAGCAGGGGCAATCTTTTTCGGCGACCCATAAGTTCAAACGTGAAAGCCCGAAATCGCCTCACCACTCAGTCTGAATCAATCAGCTGTGTGGAGTTGATTCAACCAAAAACGGAAGATTATGAATTTCTTTCATTTCACTCGGAAAGTATGAGTGCTGAGAGACAGCCGCTGGATCCAGAATCGGCAACATTTGGGAACAATGATAACCAATCGGCCCTTGAACTAGGAATAGCTCAGCGGCAACGTCACGAAATGTGAGTGTTATTCACATTCAAATGCGTACTCACGTTGTGTCGTTGAGTATCTCTCCAAATGACTGCTTATGAGTTTATTTACAGACCACATTATTGGTATTTTCCAAGTGGAAGCGAAGCTCCGCAAGCTCTGTTTGGATCACTTTTTATCGCCCTCCCTCAGATCCGAAACAATGCGTTCAAAAACCAAGGAAACGACTGTGTGACGTTTAATTGGATCTCCTGGGACATGCACTGACGACAGATCTGAGAAATGATACACCACTGCACATCAGGTGCCTCATTTTCTGCATACATTGACTGGCTATAGTAAGAGTAAAATTCCGAAATTCAATCTTTACGTGAATCCTTAATCGCAAACAATCATGGAAAAATTCCGGGACAAACCGGTATATTTCTTTGAGCTTTCTTTACAGAAGGATTGGAGAAATCGAACAGCTTGATTGTATAGTCCTTGCTCCCACTGACAAGTATTTGAAGTGTAGGATCAGGATGGAAATCCACGCAAGTAACCTCCTGAAATAGGAAGAAAAGCGGTTTACAAGATCTCATGGTTAAATTTGTAAGATTGAGCTAATTTTTGGAAATGAACGCTCATCTCGATAGGAGAGAATTCACTCATGTTCTGCTTTTTGACAGACACCAGCGTTAAGCGAGCTTCGGACCAGTTGTCAGCTTTTCGAGCCGAGTGCTTCCATAACAGAGATTGTCTGAACAAAAAGTTCGCTTAACCAGTCCTGTCACTCGAACTAGAGCGTCTCACAGTCAGCCTAATTACGGAAGGAAGTCACTGATTTTGAAAGAACTGACATCACCCTCTGGTTATCAAACTACCGCGTAAACATTAATTGACCATCGCATTTGTCTAAAGGCTAGATAAGCACAGTTCTCTCTACCGCCATTAGATAAACCATGATACTGATTGAAATGCTTGTATGGTCAAACAACTCCACAGCCGACCACACCTTTGATAAATTGCGCTATCTTTGAAGGTTCTACTTAGGTTTATCTTACACGCTAATCATTCGATCGAGGTCACTCAACTCTTGACTATCGACCGCATGCCCAATCGAACCCAATAGGTCGAAGTGACAGAAAACGAACAACACTATTTACACAGTTCTCGAAGGAGCAACAGGAAGCTTGGTGAAACTTGCCGAACGCATGGATCAAGAATGACGTTGGTAGTAGCTTGTGAGAAAAGTGCACTCAAGCTCCGTGTCCATAATTCACTAGTGTTTAGTTAGCGAAACCAAGGAAATTTATATACTGTTGGATGATCCACGTGCTGCGAAATTGGAATGGTATGTGGCTCTTGACCAAGAAACACAAAATTAACTATTGGTAAATAGAAACGGTTACAGCTTGGAAACAATGACTGGAAGCACCCGAACAACTGGTATCGACGTAAAAGAGTCGGCGTAAAACACAAGGTTGTAGATAATAGGAAAGCTTGAGATCTGCAATTCTTCGAATGGTAAATGCATTGATGGAGATGAACAAATCATTGAAGACGTAGCGCAGTGAATGACTGCTTTGCAGTAAGAGTGCATGAAAAGAACAAAGTTTCAAATACAGTTAACGCCCCCGCCCCCAGGAAAAAAAGCTGGAGAGACTCCAAACACGTTGTTTCGGTAATCTTGTTTCATCTGCGGGTCGGAAAGTTTTCCGGTGCTTAAAGAAGGAGTCTGTCTACCGGGAAGATTTACGGGCAATTCAGACCCGGTAAGACCAACACCTGAATCAGGGTGAGTATTCGAGAAAGACCAACAGTCAAGACTAGAGACTCACCACTGATAGTTAATGGCCACGTGGTCAACCAAGCTTCATTGTGATTAACGAGCACCAGAAGTCGGATGGCTCAATGGCACCTACTCTTTAAATATATTACCACTCGTGAACCACTGACAACCAGCTGTATTAGGTCTTGCATCCAGGCTAAAAGGCCAAAAAGTCGCATCTCTGAGGAGTTCAGATGTCGTCCTTGTGTATTGAGACCTTCACCGAATAGATCAATGTTCAGTATCTTGTGTGATACATGGTTGCTACACAGAGGGAAACTACAAAAAAGGGACAGCTGGTATGCCGGCTAGTTTGGGTGCTTAAGGAAACGGACAAACGAACGGCATGCGGGTGGCTGTTCAGGGAGATCAAACCGTGTAAAGAAGCCTCAGCTCGGAAATCAAAGGTTATACACATGCCAGTGCAATCAATTGAGGCAGCTTCGGAATCGGTTGAAGTTCGTAGCTTATAACGCGCAAACGACGAAAACGGCACAAGATCGACTATCGCACTTGGATACTGTGTCTGTACCTGTATTTATTGACAAGCTAAGGAATTGGTCAAGAAATAAAAGTGGGAACGCGGAAAATGCCAGAAACGGTGTTTTCGCCTAATTGCCCCACCGTACGTAGATCAGTTGTGGTTGAACCCACATTCCAAATGCTTAATTATTTTCTATTATATGATACTCAATCCTAGCTGTGGTCACCCATTATTTGTGCACAAAATCCAATGAAGCTTAGAGTCAACTTGAGTCCGAAGATGGGGACTTTAGAAACCACATTCAGTGGAACGCATTTGAGAAAACCCTTCCCAAAACCTGACTAAGGAAATATCAAATGAACTCGGTTGCCTTAGACGGTTAGTCAAGAGGAGGATATAAGAACAATTAGATCAGAGGTTGCCAGTTGCGGACGTCAGGCACCACAGAATAAACGATTGCTCTTGCCGTTCATTACACAACACAGCTTGAGTCAGTCAGTCAGTTTCGCGGTTGTAAGCTAGTCCCTCCTAGCCTTGATCATTCGAATGAAATGGAGCTTCTGTTTCAAAGTGAACACTTCCTATGCATCAAACCTTTCAAAAAGGTAACACCAAGTCAGTATATTTCAACCCAGGATGAGAAGGCCAGAGGATTTGGAATCAAATGGCTGCCAAGTTTCATGAATATGCTAGGTACGCAATGATTTTTAGTGCCAGGAGTGTCAAACGCTTCCGATATAAGCCGTCTCAGCTATCTGCAACGGTTGCAATGTCCAAGCATGCACTTGTGTGGGTGTGCCCACTGGAGGAAACTTATTTATGGCGCGGCTAAAAGTACATCACCTAGGGTATGGCGTGTTAAAACTTGTTTAGGGCGAAGTTATGCTGGATAGACCAGCCGGATACAGTCCAAAATACCATCATTTCTCTATGGCGCACCACCTAATACGATTGGGTGACAAGACGTGAACTAACCTACTGTTCGAAAACTTAACCGCTCCAAATTCTTATTCACTCCAAACAAAGTACGCTTTATGTTTAAGAAGGCGAGGGTGCTTTGATGGCACAATGATACACGTTAGTGCTTTGAGCGTAGCGCATATGTATTTATGCCAACAAGTGTCTTCGTTTGGGTCTTTCTCGGTCATGCAGCAATGCCCCATTCAGAAGAAGTCCCTGCATCAGGAAGTTTATTATTTGGTGTGAAATCTGGCTCGGAGCAAAAACGCTTCAGGACGAGCCTAACAGATCTGTCCAGTAGTATCTCCTCTTTGGGATGATTATCTTACGAACAAGCCAATCCAGAGCGCGTTGTGGAAGTTGGGCCACATTTTTCACTCAGACAGCCAAAATCAGATTGGTAAACGAAAGCCGATTGTATGCTTAAGCAGTCACGGTTATCAGGTAATTTTGAAAGTGAAGCACAGGAAATTATTTTCAGAAGGAAAATTTGGTCGTGTTGGGGAGGGAGGGCAACGGGGAAACAAAACCAACAGTAAAACCTACCGCGGTATGGTCATATAAGGTTCGAATCACTGGATGGGTTTCCATTTGTTGCTGAGGCGTTTCTTGTCCCAGGTGATCGGCTGGAGATACACTCTTCGCCAACATCCGTTCCACGTCTAGAATCTAGGCCGAAGTCAGGAAGACACCAGTAAATTGGGATCGTCTCAGTCTACTAGTGCAGTATTCAAGTAGTATAAATTAACGCTAAATACATACCTTGATCGATGAGTCGTGGGAACCGGTTGCTACCAACTGCCCTACAAAAGCAAAGAGAAACATCAGTGAATCAAAGGACCTTACATCAAAGGAATTAAACCTTCGAAATTTAGTGCCTAGTTAGTGCCTACAAGCTTTCTAGATACTCAAGAGATACGTACACCAGGCAACTCCATAATGCGTTTGACAGAGACCAAGTGGTGCGAAAATCGGTTCTGAGATTCGTTTTGCGCAGACCGTCATCAGCCCAAAAAGGACGACCGGACAGATGCCGTACTTAGTGCATGGGTTTAACAAAGAAATGCGCACATATTGCGGATAATTCGATTTTCTGAGAGCGATCCACCCATTTTGTGAATAAACGCCAGATCCATGCTCATGCTCTATGGAAGATGGAGGCACAGAGGGCAAGGCATTCTTGAAAACTTTCCTGACACTTGCCTTCGAGCAGAACATAAGGTTGACGGGAAGGCAAGGAGCGCGCGTACCTGATGGGCCCCAAGAAAGGCGAAACCGGTCGTAGGCTGTCGAAGAGTTATCAGCAACCTTGTGAGTAGTTTCCTTTATGAAAAAACACGATTACAATGTTCAAAGCCACCGTCATTGTGGAAGGACGTGTCATTGGAAGTGCGCGCTTAGTTCGGGCGAGGTAGGTGAACTTATGTTCACCCGCAAAAGTCATGTTGTTCATTCCTCTTTTGCGTGCGATTCATTACACCGTAATAAGTTTCCAAGTGTACACCATTCTCATTTACAAACTTCCGTCAAAAGCGGAATATAAGCCGTGCCAATGTACTCTAAGGCTATTTCAAAGAATATACAACCACTAATCTTTAGAACACTTGGCACAGAATCATCAGCGGTTGAGCGTAAAGGACAGAAAACCCACTTACAAAGCACTTCTACGGGTCGAATGGCGCTTGTTAAAATAGCAAGATATGCAATAATAAAATCTGAGGATGAGGCGGCCAGTAAATGAAGTTTTGGGTTTATCCACATCTATATGCATCTAGTTGTTTACCCATATTGATTTACCCATATTAGAGCCATGAACAGGTGTGAAAAAATCACTAAACTTCATGGTGCACTATGACATGAAAATGTGATTTGTGATTCCGTACCAGTTAGTCTTGGAAAAAATATTTGTTTTCGTAGAACCAGAGGTAAAATGCTGACTCAGTGCGTTTCACTTAAGACGGACGTGGAGAGATCAATCACCTGACCCACAGGTCGACAGTTTGCACAGCAAATCAGAAGAAAACGAAATTGACAACTACAGTTGTAGAATACATACTAACATGACTCTCGTTTGAACAATCGCTCTCCTGTCCTGACGCAATCAATCTGGTGGGCCCATACCAAAGGAGGGGAAGCATTGGAGTTGAGTTCCGCTCTTATTAGAGTTCATCAGCAGTGCATATCCAATGGCCAAGACGAGGTTTGGACTCCGCGCATCTGACATGAGATGCAAGTGTGTTACCACTACTCAACCAGCGGACGATGGACTCATCCGAATTTTTACGTCTGAACGGGTGAATATGTTTGCGCTTCATTGATGTGAGTCTCGAACGACGACCCAGTAACATACCCTGGTTATGTTCATTGATTGGCAGAACTCGAGTCAGTTGCTTCCCCCCTTTGGTGTGGACTCACCAGGATGATTGTGCGGAGACAATAAAACGACTGTTCAAACGAGAGTCATGCGAGTATGCATTCTACAAAATCCCGCAAACACTAACACCTGAATCACAGTTGTGCACGTGAGGTGAACTAGCAGAGAACCGAATTCATCCAACTGTCAATCACGATGCTAGCGGTTAATACCTTAGATTGTTTGCTAACAAACGATCTATGGTTGATGAGTACTCGGTCAAACGAACTGACGACCAGCCGGTTTAGAAACTGTCCCCACCCAACATACAGGGCAAAAACAGGTCAAATACACTGGAGAAGACACCGAGAAGTGGAATTTGTTCGAAATAGAAAATGGCTCCCAGACTGCTATGGAAGGCTAATCAAACATGAAAAGAACAACCTACCTGTTCCGTTAAAAGCGGCAGCGCGACAGGCGGCTTTGTGGGCTGTAACGTAGCATGTCTCATAGAGAGCAGCTTCAGGAGCCATTGTAGAGCCTGTTGATAGCAAGAGATAAAATGTTGTTTGGATAATACGTCATTTAAAAAACAGATATCGACTCATAAGACCGAGGAGAAAATACACGAATAAGATTATGCTAGACATGCGCTTGAACCACAGGGAACAAGTAACAGGGAAGCAGCAAGCCTTACCTTTACCAATCATCTTGTGGGTAACCAACAGTCATCATCATCATCGACAGCATGACATCAGTGTTCAACATTGATGCCTCGCTGCCGTACAACCACGATTTACTTGAAAGCCTTATTGTGGAGAACAGTATGGTCCCTAGACAACGATTGTCAAGCACCTGAAGAGGTCACAGTTCCCTTGCTCGAACAGGCCAAGCCTCACAGTCATGCAACAAAACAACCTGCACTGTAGCCTGCTACACACGTCCCTTGGGAATCAGGGATGCACCACTTTGACGCCAGAGGTGTCTCAAATTAGCGAACGCGACCCAAGGCTTGCAGATTTGCGCACTGACCTCGTCTGTCACACTACAATCAGAACTATTACAACTTCCAAGACACGTAAAACGCTCCACAACTTTCAGTGCATCTCCCTGGATTGTCAGTGGTGTGTTCAGTGAGTGCACGTCCAGGAGCGAAGTGGGTGCAAAGTGCATGCCAAAGGACGGGATGATTGGTTACTTCATCCAAAAACACCTGTGCATTCTCTTCGAAGACGAGAACGATGTCATCCGCATATTCCAGAACGACAAGGTTTTCGTCACAGGCTATTTAAACACCGGGCTTTTGAAGACCCAGCGCCCGTCACATCATTTCATAGATCAAGAAATTAAATAGAAATGGAGAGTCAATGTCCCTAGTGGACACCGCTTTGTCGCTTTTGGAGAGATCACCGTGTACTCTCAAACATTCGGAAGTCCGAGAATACAAAGAGCATATTATGTTCGGAAACTTCTAGGGTACTCCTTGGTGGTCAAGCGTGTCAAGAAGAACAGACCGGTCATGACCGGCCAAATTTGTCCCCTGTATATATGGGAACAACTCAGAAAACCAACAAATGTAAGTGCAAAACGCTTTCAGAATGGTCGGCTGCCTCTTTGGGTGAGGAATCAGGAAAGGTAGCTCTTTACTTTCCACTTAAGGATTCCTACGCAACTAGCCCCGTTGTTTGGTACGCAGATATCAGGAGGCATTTTAAAACACGGAAACTTGTCCACTACTCGAAGCTTACATTCCATAGGTTCCGACATAAACTTTGCGTCGATACTTTTCGTAAGGTTGCACATACTATGCGTCATATCTACGAATTCAAACTTTTCAGATGGATCACCCATAGTACTGTATTTCATGGTGTCCCTAGGCTGCTTGGGAACGAATGTGCAGTTCAGTTAAGGCTTTAGACCATGGAAAATGCATGTGAAATACAGTGTTTCGCCAAAAAATACATGAGATTGACTATCTGTCACCAGAAGTAGCACTGTGTAAGCCATTGAAGTGCGTCCTGGTTAATGATTAAACACCACCAATGGTATCCATGACGCGCCAATCAACGGTTTTCGAACGCTATTATCACCCTTAATGAACGGATAAATTCGTCCATTTGAGCTTAGGATATCCTATGCACAAAACCAGACCGTCCGGCCCTTGAAAGCAGTCCGTCACACGCAATTCAAGAAAATTCACGACGAAGCCACTTTGCTCTTTTCTTGGAAGCACGCTTTTGAGGATGGCACTGTATTGCCAGGTTCACTGTTAGCAAAGCTCTGTTATGTGCATTTGTCGCACACATCATCACAATTCATATTAAAACTCTGAAAAGGAGCAACACCTACCTATTTCAATAAACCTCGACCTAAATTTTGTGGGGCAGTGAATGGACGCAGGTCTGTGCGAGATCATACTTGAACACAGCAGTGTTGGGGATGTTAGTATCCTCAGAAACTTAGTTGTGCTCGGCTGTCGCCGAGTCACCCCCTTGAGAATACGTGTCTTGGATAGGTGAGAAGAGTGTGAAGCTGCATTCTAACGGTTCAGTTGTACGCTCCGCTCCAAACTGTTATAAGCGCTCTACGATCCCAAGCTACCGATTGTTGAGGCAGCTGAAGTCCCCGCTTACGATATCACCGCCGACAACACAGGGAAGTCAGGCACACATGCATCCAGGTCGCTGATCCCAGCAGAACAACTTTACGGGCAAAACAATACGGGCCTTGGTAAGACCCTTTTTGGTCTACCGATTCCACACGATTGTCTACAGTCGCCCCGCTGACTGACGAGATGGCTCGGAGGTTAGAGCGCGAACTTACTGACCGGAAGGTCCGTGTTTCGAACCCGACCTCTGCCTCTCGACTTCCCGTGTCTAGGCTTGAGAACCTCGGCAGTACCCCAGCCCTTGTGCTTCCTTCTGGTCCCAAGTGTCCATTATTGACCCGAATTCTGTCGTGTCTGCTTACTATGCGAATCATCTTCAGCCTTGTCGCTCACCATTCCTGAAAATGATTTCCTCATCCAGTATTGCCAAGCTGATGCAATGTTAGGCCCCGTCGGCGACCACACTACATCGGAGAACACGTCATTACCGCTGTCCAGCGACGATCAAGCCTGCCAATAGTTGTTGCAAATCATCCGCGTCTTACCGGTGGCTCTATCTGATATCCAACCTGGAAATGAAGCTGACACCACACATTATAGGCGGTACAAAACTTCAGGACATGTTGGCAGACAAAGTCTCTACAGGGCAATCTCCAACTGCTTTTCAATTTCAGGGACTCTGTATCGAGTGCGAATGACGGCCTCGTTTTTGGAGATCGTGTAGTGCTACCAAGTTCCTCGTGTCTACAATTCTTGAGGCAGTTTCATTTGGAGTATCCAGGAATCAACCAGATGAAAGCGATCGCTCGTAGTTTTGACTAATGGGCGCACATGGATCGACATATCCCGGATTATGTCAGACGCAACAAGCCACCAAAGATCGTCCACACCCACCGCCTGTTTCTTCATCCCGAACCGAAGGACCCAGATATTGGGTATACGATGACAATGCTGGTTCCATTGACAGAGTGACCTACATTGTCCTGGTCGCTGCCCCTTCAAAATGGCCAGAAATAATGTCTGTTGCCCGATCGTCACAATCATCACACTGCGAATTCTTGTTTCTGATCTTCAGCCATCATAATCTGTTGCATCAAAGGACTGCGCCGCACCCGTTCGCCGACGTATAACTAACCAAACAAATGACCAGACCGAAGGTTTCGTCGATAATTCAGAGCGAGTTCCGTTCGAATCTAGACTGGAGGGTACATATGTCGACGTCCTCCAGAGAGTTTTGGTGGCACGCCACATCACCCCCAAATGACACACCGGAAGATCGTAAATCGCCTACTGAAGCTCTTATTGGCTGGAAGTAGCGAACCTCCAATCTCGCTGCGCGGCCAAGGTTCTCAGTTCACAATGACGGAGTAAGGGGCTCCATTCGATGTGGAGACAGGTTTTCACGGAAGATTATTGGCTAGGGCACGGCTTCTAGATCGAGGTATATGTTCTAAGAGAATACGCGAACTTTATGTTGCCATTTACTGGATCCGACACAAAATGAACTCCTTCCACGCCCTACGCCCTCACTCTTGACAATCTTCTCGACAGCTTCGAACTGCCGCCAATTGCGGCTGACGCAAAGCATTGAGGACGCAAAACCAGTCGACGTGAGGCCTAAATCCTCTTCCAAAGTGAAAGGCTTTCCGCCGACAGCAAATTGTCCCGTTCCCGACTGACCCAGGAAAGTCTCGTTACTGACTTTCCTCAGGGGATAATGTGGAAGCGAGTATCTTCCAAAACTCTAATTGTTGAACTCCTGCCCGGCAACTGGTGGAAAGTTTTGAATCTTACCCATTCGCGACTTTTTCTATAATTTCAGGAACTTCCAAAAAAATGCAGAAGAAGAAGACGAGACCTTTCTAGGAGAGCTTCGACTGCTTCTACCAAAGACAGTTTACAGTGAGAGCACCGATTATATACATATATATATATATATATATATATGTATATAATCGGTGCTCTCACTGTAAACTGTCTTTGGTAGAAGCAGTCGAAGCTCTCCTAGAAAGGTCTCGTCTTCTTCTTCTGCATTAGGAGTAGCTGGACTCGAGTCGTAGCTGAGAATTCGTGCGCTCCTTCTCACGTCGCGTATGCTAGTGGCCAGCCCGCAGATTCGTAACAAGCAGCAATCTCCCGCTGCCACAATAAACAATGTCTTTCAGGACTATATGGAAGGTTTAAGGCCAAAAATAGCGTGGTGGAATAAGATATTGTAATAAGGCGTTTCGGTTCCCATGGGCAACCTTTTCAATTGACTGTAGAAGTCCTTCTGGATTGTTTATCTCATTGCTTGCTGAGCCCCTTAAGGGTCCCTGCGACCTATGGTTGTGCTCAGATTGGCAAAATCGTCACAAAAATGCCAAAATACGTTATCATGCCAGGAAAGTAGCCAACCGTATTGTGGTGGGTAACAAGGGGGCACGCCAAACAGGCAGACCCGCATCCGAACCAAGGCACATCCGGACAGCGACTAACGGCTTATACAACTGCCATTGTTGGTTTTGATTCATCGTCACGTGGCGATGTTCAGACAGCGTTTTCTTAACTAATCATTAGCCTGGGTTTGTTTGGGATATATTCGAGTATGAAGCTGCGATTAGCAGTGTAAATTAACCGCTGCTGTCGTGTTTCAAAAATGCCGCGAACAATAGATGAAGATTATTATGTAGGTTTGGCTACTGAATGCACATCAATAATTTAGGGGGTCAAATGAAGACGAAGTCACTCAAAAGTTGTGCCCTTGGCTTTTGATGCTGCTCGACCAAGTCACACTGTATCAGAATATCACTTTCGTTACCCAATCGGGACAGCTCCAACAACTTGTATACCAGTTGGTAACAGTGAAGTTTTCAGAGCGCAGTGTTATCAAATACGAATATAGAAGAGCGGACAATACTGGCACTCGCATCAATCAGTGCTGATTATCTGTCAGCTCTCTGAGACTAGCTGAACATACCCAGAACTTACTTTCACTTTCTACCTCAAGGTCGATACCAGTTCCAGGGGCGATACACTCTCCTTCAATAACCCCGCCTTTCTCTTGTTCCTCTGGAAGAGAAGAAAAAACTCAGCGGAAAAAAAATACTTGTTCCCCCTATTTACAGTGTACGAATTTCCCCAATTGCAAAAGTCGCCGCTCACAACTACTCAAAAAGTCCTAGCTGGAATTTCATCCAGCTAGTAAATTCAATTTCGGCTGAAAAGTCGTGAGCCATTACCAAACTGTCTCATCCCTGTTCGTGACTTGAATCCTACCGATTAGAAGCTAAGCACTGGTTTATTCAACTACGAGACCGATCGAAAATGCCATTAACTTGCAAGTGCAATTCTCTGACCCGAAAGAGGGCTGGTGGTATACGCGTCAGCAGTAAACTGTTGAGCACGCGCGACATTCCCGTTGATTCCTGCAAGTTGAATGACATGTATGCATCAAAGGATGCCACCGCTGAACCACCAAAACAAACTAATATACCAATCGAGTATATAGATAATAAGTGAATAAAAAACACGTTTGGATGGTCGGAATGCGCACAACCTAAAAGCATCCGAAATATTGTTGACTTGAAATGGGTGAGCTAAAAATTGGTGGACAAACAAGCACAATTCTACGAAGTCGACAATCCGTACATTTCCACGCAACTCGAGGAACGTGTCAGGAACTGTCAGGTTGCCAAGTTATGAATAGGGATAATCGAAAAATTAAGTGTGAATTGGAACAAAAAACAGTCGAGAGGTCATCTTGGAGGATATGTGATAAGGTTCGAATACAAAAACAAGCAAACAGACTGAACTACAAGCGACATGGCTCAGTGGTTACAGCGCGAATTTACTGATCGGAAGGTCCATGGTTCGACTTCTCTCTCTCTGTCTCTCGACTTCCCCTGTCTAGGCTTGGGCAACCTGGCAGTATCCCAGCCCTCGTGCTTCCTTCTGGTGGCATGGCAGCTAGGCACCGAAAACATGGATTTAGCTGTTGATCTATTTTGAATACATGGTAAAGTATTTAGGCGGTGTTTTCACGAAAAAAGATTTTTCAATATTCTAGTGAGCGTGTCTTCGGAATATAGCGCTAAACAATCCTTTAGTTGAGTGCAGTACGGAGGGAGAATAAAAGGAAGGACGATTTCTGCTCGCAATCAAGCCCCAAACATAGAGTCAAAAATGAAAGTCGTGCAACAAAACATCGTTACCTTCAGATGAGGCCAATCCCAACTTTACAAGGCGGAACAACCGGTTTGAGGGCCCACAAGCCGTGGAGGGGCTCACTAGGTTCACCAAATTTACTGCCATCGTTTGGAATCCATCATAAAACAGTTGACTGAGGGCATGAATGGTTAGTTGGTACAATTCAAACCTTATAATCAACCGATAGAGCAAATCGCGTTCTTTAAATGACATAGCTTGGGCGTCGGGAAGATAGATAAACCTGCACAGAGGAGTTTAATAAGTGAGCATGGAAAAACGCTGAGCAGTGCACGACTGTCTAAGATCAGATGGAATACATGTGAAATCTTATCGGTGAGTAAAGGTACATTCTGGTGTAGTTTCGTACGCGATCATCAATACACTTGAATCCACAAGCTGGTCGGTCCATTCCCCCACTCCTCAACTACCCAAAAAAGCAGGAAGGAAGCAGAGCCAGAGACCACAGTATCAAGTGGGTGGAAATATATACAGATAAAAGATTATAGTGACAGTCACAAAGGTGTTCAGCTAGCTAATTACTCTTTAACGTTTAGTTAAGTTTACCATTCAGCGACAAAGCACATACTGGGGTTCAGTTGGTTCCAGCCGCTGAAATCTCGTTCAACGAGGAGACAACGGGTTCGCTGGCTCAATGTTGGGTGCTTCTACATTCTCTAGGAAATGAGATCAGACACAGTTGAAGATGTAGCATTTATGCAGCGAAGCCAGTGAATGCAGCGTAGCGCTTTTGTCAGTCACTGACCGTGGCCATTGGTTGGAGAGTCAATAATGGTCCAGATATTGTTCACCTTCGAACGCCTTTGCCAGACCACAGACTGCACAACTTTTAGTTGATTCCGCCCAACACACACCCGAGAATGGGCTTGGAGGCACATCTTCTACTTGAACTCCAAATATGGCCTCAATCGGTGTTAGCTTTTATATGAATGTCTCATGTGAAAGCCATCCGGAACGCCTCGGTATTTCCGGTATTCGGATCAGAGCATGGATGTGCTGATATGACCGTCACACTCTGAAAGCCACCTTGAGCACGTGCAACAGAGTTTCATACTGCAAAGCTGTAAACTGTATCTGATATTAAAGCTAGGGTCACAGAGGTTCCAGAGGTAGCAGGCGAAGCCCTCCAAAAGTGTAGCTGCAGTCTAAATTTGACGACTTTCTCGAATGCCTCGAGTAAAATTCAGGTGGCCTCTGCTGGACACGCGTCTGAAAATGACGGTGACCCATCAGTGCAGGAAACGACCTTCGAGGGTGCAGACGGGCTAATACATCCCACTTTCCTTAACGTGAATGACGAGATGAGTACAGGACTGTCAAGAAACTAGACTCATACATGACTGAAAAATACTAGTAGTCGGTTGGTCATCGAAGTGAGCTCTAAATTGCCTATAATAAGGATACAACAGCCTGTTATACTCCCGTTGTCTAGATAATTTTGAATCTGAGGAATATCGTAAGTGCATACTCTCTAGACACGATACATTGTAGGGCTCTTCATCTGTTTCAGGCGTTGAGCACATTTGGTGTATGCTTATGAGTGTTCGGCTGAAGAATCCGTCTTAGAGAACCAGACCGATAACCAGACTGGGACATTACTGTTGCTCCAAATGACAAACAACAGCTCATGATACCGATTGTATTTCCACCGTTTCCAAAAATTTTTGCAGCAAAACCCAAAGCTATTTCAGGAAACGCAACCGAAGCTTATCGCATCACTGAGATAAATACCGAATGTATAAACACCACTAAAAGCAGGATTTCTGATCCTTCCGTTGATGTCACTGCCACTCCAGTTACGAAGTCCACATGTGACCCACTCCGTGGTCATACGCCTGGTCTAAACCTAGATCCAGTATGTCTTTCTAAATGCGACAAAGGACTCAAAGTTGAGTTAGAAAATCATGTCGCTGACAACGCATCATATGTGCTTTCATGGGGGGGGGGCGACAGTGAACTTGGAGAGCTCCATAACTCCATCTGCCATCCGGGCATTACTCGTATGTTTCATTTTTTACGTTGCACGAATCTCCCCTACTCCTTCGACGATATCAAGCGTTATTTCTTCCTGTAAAGTGTGTAGCGGACTAAAGCCAAGCTTCTGGAAATCATCTGGTGGACTCATTAAAACAACACAACCTTTGAGCGCCTGAATTTGGATTTTAAAGGTCCCCTCCATCTCATACACGCAACCGCTTCTTATTCACGATAAGTGACGAGTTCTCCAGATTTTCATTTCCATTTGCGTGTGCGGATATGATGTCAGCAACTGTGATTGCCTCACACAAATCCTGTTTGTTCGAAATGCCAGCCTATATCCATTCCGAGGCACACCGTCCGCTTCTTATTCACGATAAGTGACGAGTTCTCCAGATTTTCATTTCCATTTGCGTGTGCGGATATGATGTCAGCAACTGTGATTGCCTCACACAAATCCTGTTTGTTCGAAATGCCAGCCTATATCCATTCCGACAGAGGCACACCGTTGATGTCGTCTGAGACCAATAGCTTTCTTTTAGAGAAAGGCGCTGCTATGAGTCATACATCGGCATATAATCCGCAATATAACGGTCAAGTTGGCGCCTCAACGGTACCCCCTGAAAAACAGTAAGCCTGGTGTTGAAATATCACAACCTTCCGCCTTCCCATTGGGAATCAGTACTCCCTGATGTTCTACACAGCCTCCAGTCACTGTTATGTACGGTCAATAACTGTATCCACATGGACTTTTGTTTCAATGCGCGCTTCCCTCAACATGTGGAATATCGTAGCCATCTTGGTTGACCACCCCTGGTCCAGTTACTCTGTAACGAGGTGATAGGTCATCCAGGTATCAGCCGCTAGTAGAGGTCGACCTTTTGAGCTGCTAACCACACTACGCATACATTGCTCGTCAAGACGGAAGAGTCGAAACCGTGTTCCTTCGCCGTCTAGCCGCAGCGGTTTAGAATACAACTGACGACGTTCTCAACCTATCCGAATCCATTGGGGGGACTGAACAGCCAGATATGAATGAACCAACCGGACGTCAGCCTGATAGCTCTCAAGCATCTGAACCATGTTCGGTACCGTCTGTCGAAGACCAATTGAGTTACCCTGAAATTCTAGAACAGCGGGCCGTTCAACCTTAAAGTTTAAAGAACACAGAAGCCTGACTCAGTACATCATCCCCTATCTAAGTCAGCACATGTGTCCATTAATCAATGCCGGGGTGAATGCAACAATTTTTGTGTGCTTATTATTACGTTTACCCTATTTCTTAGGATTGGACCTTTGTATGTACGTTTCAGTTCATCGACGCTTGTTCTTAGAAAAGTAAGACGTTTATCCGCGAAAAACCGAACTTTGTTCTAACTCGTTTCCGGACGCATTCTAAACGTCGCATACACCTAGCCGGTCAAGAAAGACTAAGAGGGCTTTGTCTCATTTCCCAGCTTTAGAAACCACGAATCCGGGTGTTTGAAACTCAGCTCCATGAGGGAGAGTGATTTCAAACGCCTCATTTCTTTTAGGTATCCAGTTGTCCTAAGACACCGATACAAAAAGCCGGCTGCTAAAGGGTACTGAACAAGATGCATTTATGGCAGTACATAGTCTCAACATCAGACACCAACGCCCTATTAACTTGCAGCAGGGGCTACGGTCTGCCAGTCAACTGTCACTTCCGCCGTCCCCAGAAAGTCTGAGGAAAGGTCTGGTTGGAGGCAGATTAATCCCCACAAGTTGGGGGTACTGCACCGAGTGGTATTTTCTCGTAAATGAATGGGGTATGTGCTTTGATGAAAGTGACTCGGTTGATGCACATGTGAAGCCTGAAGTCATGGAAAGGGTCCACAGAGTTCTTGGCCATTGATACGCACCATGGTCTGTCCCAGCATACTCAATTACCGTTGGGCGTCAGGAATATATTCAAGGATATGGGTACCAAAAAAGTAAAGGTTAATCATGCATCCGATGAAACATCTCACCATCATAAAAAAACCTAATTAACAGCCACAATTGGAGAACATCAACGTCATCAAACGCCCCGTCACGAAGAGACTGGACCTTACCGTGGTGTGACGGTTTGCGCGCCTCAGCGATCCATTCAACTATACTGGGGAGTGTCCCGCGACTCAAAGTCTCATACCAAGTTGGTCAATGGTTAGAGGTCTGACGAACGCAGTCTCCTGGCCCTCCAGATTGGGGGTTGGAACATGTGGCGACTTGTTCTGTAGAAATGGTAATGCATTTCCATTTCCCGCCAAGTACCGCTGCCTTGCGGTTAGGCTTTTGAGCCGAAGGCTTTGGTTGAGGACCCTAATCGTCCTCCTGTCTAGGTGTGGGCGCCCTGGCAGTATCCCAGTCCACGTACAACCATGGACTGCACATACACAAATAAACTCATGCCAGATCGGCCGTCGCGTGATGCCATCAGCCAGGTCGCCTTACTTGCTGCATACAGCAGGGCGGATAAGCGAAAACAGGCTACTGCTGATCTATCTGGCCGCGTTCAATGTTCGCACTATGAAGCAAGCAGGACAACAAGCTGCTCTTGCACTCACACTGGACTCGCTTGGCATTGATGTGTGCTGTGTCTCAGAAACGAGAATTCAAGATGCAAGCACAGTGGTTGAGTTAACCGCCCCGTCAGTCTCCACTCGCTTCCGTCTACGCACCTCTGGTGATCCAGAGGCTACTGCGGTGGGATGTGCAGGGACTGGTATTGTGTTAAGTCACCGGGCGGAAGTATCCTTACTTGACTGGATACCTGTTGATCGTCGCCTCTGTGCGGTTCGTCTGGCAACGTCTGTGAAGGAGTCTCACAAGCGGCAAGTTGATAGATGTCTGTTTATCGTGTCTGCCTATGCCCCAATTGATTGTAGCTCTGACACCGTCAAAGACGGGTTTTACGACGCCCTGAATGCTCTGCTGCGGCGAGCTAAAAGCTCAGACATTGTGGTGGTTGCCGGAGATATGAATGCGCAAGTGGGCAGGCTCAGTGCATCTGAGACTCAATTGGGAGGTCGACATGGACTGGACTCGGTACGTACGGACAATGGGGAACGATTGCTTCAGCTGTGTGCTGATCGCAGGCTGTTTTTATGCAGTACGAACTTCCGAAATAGCCGAAACCGTCTGGTCGCTTGGCCAGACAGCAGGCCGGCCACAAACTCACATCGACCACATTCCCATCAGTTACCGATGGCGCGGGTCCATAACTGACTGCCGGTCGTTTTGGCACACATTTGTAGGCTGTGACCACACGCTCGTCCGGAGTCGCTTCTCTCTACGTTTCCCGGAGCCGCGTAAGGTGCGGACAAATCGCCTGGCGACTGAAGGACTGGCAAATCCAGAATTCAGACGAACTTACAAGAATCGTCTTCTAGAGCCTCTTCCAT